TAGAATTAATAGCTACAAAAGTTAGATAAAACACACTAATACATTAGAATAATCAAAGATTAATAAATAGACCCAGTCATTGTTATTTATAATAATATTTTCTTACTGATCCATTCCTATGTCATTCTAATGCCCCGAAGTATTATGGCACCTACTCATTCACATTTTCGATATCAATGATTGTCTGATACACGAATAAAATCAAATCACTAACATGGCACCCGAAAAAGGGACACGCCCTCAGCCCCATCCTCAATTAACCCTATCCGTACGTCGTGTTTTTCTATCGTATCTATACGACGTGGGGAACTCTTTGCCACCACTTTCCAAAGAGGAAATTTACTCGTTAATCCGACCCTTACGCTTTGCATAGCAATCTGTCAAAATGATTTTTTGATAAATACTGACAATTTCAAAGAGATCTTAGCACTAGAAGTACATTTTTGGATTCTAAAATGTGAAGAATACAACACCGGGGTAAGAAATGACCCCAGGGCGTACGGATAACGTTAAAACCCCCCCCACCAAAAGTAACAGATACATGGTATTTTCAGAACGTCCCCGCCCTATAAACCAGAAGAAAAATGGTGCCAGAGAACCAGTTTGGGAAATTACAAGTGAATCAACACGTCTTCACGGCAGCAGTGAAGAGGTTAATGCTTCATCAAGGTCTACAATGTAGTGGCATCACTCCTGTTCGGGAAAATACTGCGGCTGTGACGTTGTTCTGTGTGAAGAAGTGCACTGAATGAGTCCGCTTGTAACAATATTATTTTAATACCGTGTTTCAGTTGTCAGGGGTGCACTTAGGAAAATAACCCAGTTAAGATACATGTAACAAACGAGCCTACTCTTGCAGTTGTTGGTTATTCATCCGGAACAGTGACAAACATCAAAAGGAGAGGAATCCAGATTCGGAAAAGAGAACAGAAAGAATTATGCTCTTCAACTTCAAGTGTGTGCTTTTCGTCACGATGTGTCTTGGAGTTGCGGACGCCTTGAATATTGGTGAGTGAGTTCATGCAAAGATCGTTTGGTTCATGTTCAAGAAACGCATTACACCGTAGTATCAACATTCTTGTTCTTATCTTACATGAATTTCAATGGGGTGTTTTTGGACTGCACACAACAGTTTTGGCCTACACCATACGACTGTAATTAAAGATTATATCATATCTAGGTTTTCTGTGTGGTGTGGGGTGAGGTGGGGTGTGGCCTCTTCTCTAGGTGCTGTACATCCACAATGGAAGGGCGGAGTTCTCCAGCATTCCATTCCAGGACCGCCATCTTACAAGTTTTATTGTGGGAGCTCAAATGCCCCGGCTTCAATAATCTCTGCCTCTTTCTTGCGAGGAAGCATGCAAGGCTGCAACCCTCGGTTAGATGGCAATTTTCTGGGAAGGGGGGGGGGGGGGGGGGGGGTGGTGGTGAGGATTTGGGAAGGGAGGAGTATAAATATAGCACCCCAGACTCCATAGGAATCTCCTTCTTCTTCAGGCGTCAGGTCTGGAGCAGACATAGACGATCACGATCAGTCTTTTTGATCTGCTCAGTTTCTCTCACTGTATTATTCGTTACAACGTTGTCCACGCCCTCTGTGTATGTTGCTCTTTGTCTTCCTCTGCTCTTCTCCCCTCCCCCCCCCATCTTTCCAGACGGCAGCAGTTTCTCTAATCCATTAGATCTGTATGTGTGGCCAAAGAACCTCAGTTATCTTTTTCTAATGGTTCTGACCATAGAACGCTTTTATTTTGCAACCTGCCATTTGGTGTTCTATATCTGGCATTTCTGGCCGTTTTGAGTTACGTGTACCGGTACTAAGACCATGAAGTCAGAAACCATAATTTTAATGTTCTACTTACTCCATCAAAATCGGAAGATTATTCGGAATCGTTATCAAGATATTCAAAGAACTGCATTCGGAAAAGCTCGACATGTCATGAAACTAACAATTTTTAACTTCATAATTTCTCAAAACTAGGTACTAAACAGATAGTCGAGCTTTGTAATTTTTGAGTAGCGAATTTTGTGTCTTTTATACTATATATGTACGTTCTTTAAAGAGTTAAATATGGAATGTTCTACCTTTGCCCACCCAGGCCACACTGTGTGCAATGAGGTACTCGCTTTGTCGGATCTTCACCCCGGTATGACCGAGTCAGAGTGTGTGAATCTTTGCGACGCCCTCTTCATCATGGCCCTGGACACAGAGGAACAGATAACAGACGACATCTGTCAACAACAGTGCGCACGGTGAGTGAACGCCGTCAACGGATTCGTTTTTTTTGGTTTTTTTGTTGGTAGAATGATAGTCGGTGTTTAACAAGCTTGTAATTATACACGTACAAATCAACACAATTTGGACCAGAGGTAGATCTGTCCCCGGGGTTTCATGCACCCCGCATCATTTAGCAAAATTTGATCATTTTTTGGGCATAATTTCTGATTATTTTTTTTTATCATTCTTTGTTAAAATTAACAGAATCGCATAATTTCACATTTCTGGGCTCAGTTTGCATAATTTCAGAATTTCTTTTGCATAAAACAGCGGGGACAGGTATAGATCTATGTATCAAACTCAGTCTTTCAGATGGTCAAACTCAGCTCAAAAGACATTAACATTTAAGGTTGTGGGCTGAATTGAATAACCACTCATTCAAAAGTGGACAACTTCACTTTACAAACCCCCCCCCAAAAAAAACCCCCAACAAAAAACAAAAACAACCCCACCAAACAAACCCCAACAAAATAAAACAAAACAATCAACCTCTGATTTGAATTGCGGAAGTTAAATAAAATAGTTACAAATTAAGCCACAACTACAGCCAGTTGTACACAATGTACTTTTTTTCTCGGCAACAAATTCGTTAATATTAATTATATTTGGAGTTCGGAACATAGCACAGGATTCTAGAATTCTGTGGAACACAGGTAAGGTTTTGTACATGTACTTGTATTGTGGAGATTCTCAGAATGGACTACATACATAATGTGACTCTTTCGCGGGCCGGAATAGAATTGCTCAACAGGTCAGAATGCTGCAGCCTATGTACAGGCCTGGAATTTGACTAGTGTGATTTAGATTGTTGAGGATGCAGGCGAAGCTTTCATTTTGCCTGTCTGGACTTATATTATAATACGGTCTGAATAGGAACTGCATCCCCACAGAAACGATGTTATAATATTAGTTTAGTTTAAGTAAGAGATCTTTTCCGGAAATACAGGCAAGAGGACATGACCACCATAATAACAGGGAGAAGATGGAGATGGATTGGGCATGTTCTGAGAAGAGAACAAGATTCTATAGTAAAGACTGCACTCCTCTGGACCCCCGATGGACATCGCAAGAGGGGCAGACCCAAGGTGACCTGGAGACGCACAGTAGAGTCTGAAATGAAGTCTTGGAACCATTCGTGGGGGACGTTGACCAAGATGGCCCAAAACAGACAGAGATGAAGATCCTTTGTTGATGTTGCTGCCCTAGACGCCAGATGGTGTAATATGTAGTAATTTCAAGTAGGCCTAAGTAAGTTGAGTAAGAGATTTATGGCAGTTGCAACTCAATAAGGTCATTAAGTGTCGAATATAGACGTATTAAAAGAGAGTAACAAACAACAACAACAGCAACAACAACAACAAAAAAGGAGAAGAGCCAGGTACAACACCCCCTCCCCCCCCAAAAAAAAAAAGAATAAAAAAAAAAACCCCAACCTGCGACGGATGTGCTTGGTACACGGCACAGAACGTACAAATATGTCGTTGTGAAGCGATAGGCACTCTCTGCTGTTCCCAGGTCAGGTGACTCTGGTTCGATCCCTGAGTTACTCGGAGAGAGAATTTTGATCGACTGCTGGGATACATGTGTATGTATTGTATCCCTCTCAGTCCCGGTTGGCCCTGCATGATAGAAGGCAGGGTCGAAAGCCTGTCTCCTAAATGATTTACATTGTGACGATGATCGGTCGTAAAAACACCTGAACACCCAAATTCACTTTTTAAAAAATAAATAAAAAGCCCCCCCCAAAAAAAACAAAAAACCCCCATGAGGTTGCAAAGAAGGCCGCACGTGACTACATGTATCAAAGAACAGTTAACTGTCACAGTAATACTAATAGCCTGTCCCCGGGGTTTTATGCACCCCGCATAATTTAGCAAAATTTGATCATTTTTTTGCACAATTTCTGGGATTATTTTCCTTTATCATTCTTTATTAAAATTAACAGAATCGCATAATTTCACATTTTTGGGCTCAGTTTGCATAATTTCAGAATTTTTGTGTGTGCATAAAACCGAGGGGACAGAATAGCTCTTTTCTGTCATCAGGTTTCGAACCCAGTAGGCCTACCTATTGATTGAATGTGAGGTGGCCGTGAGATTGAGAGCCCCCTTACATTTTCTTTGTAAAGATATGGATTGAGCAAAACTTAATTGAAATCCACTGTTAGGAGCTTATTCCTGCTGGGTAGTTGGCGGGTGCTCTGGTGTAGTTTGCTCCTTCTTTCCTATACTAACAAAATCTATCTTCTCTCTCTCTCCCCTCCTTCTTTTTTTTTGTGTTTGTTACTCTCCAGTAACACTTCTAATCTTCGGCACTTATATGACTTTATTGTGTTGCAAGTGCCGTAAAACTCTTACTAAAACTAAAAAACATGATACATTTACATGTACTTTGCTCTTATTTTAATTTTTTTCTCTTCAGGGCGGTCAGCGGTGGGATCAAGAACTGCCATGATTGATGACGACAAAGTCTGTTCCCAACAACTCAAGTGAAGGGAAGAAAGGAAAAATTCAGAATGAACATAACATTAAATTGTTTCATAGGAATTACAGGCTTTCGTTTTTGAGTTTGAGTTTCATTTAATTCTTACTTGAGGCAGAAGATATGAGTATTATGAGGTTATTTCAATTAAAAGAAAATATTACAAATAAAAGTGGGTGTTTTTTTACACCGCAATTGACAAAATTTAGATCATAAAGGAGACGGGCTTCTGACCCTGCTTGTAAAGGCCAACCTGTGCTGAGAGGGTTTCAAGTACAACATTCCTTCAAAAGACCTATACTCTATAAAAATTTCTCCTCATTTGGGAATCGAACTCGAGACTCCTGTGTGCAACAGAGAAGTGCCAAACACTATAGGTCCTACCACAGACGCTGGTGGTGTGAAGTTGAGCAAAGACACAAATTAAAGCCTATAAGAACAATTTTGTTGGCTCAAATGGTATCATGCTGGACTAGGGAATGGGGATGACCCAGGAGGCATTCTGAACTTGGGTTACTTTGGTGAGTGTTTATAACTTTAACACTTTGTGGTCATTTGGCGCAATAATGCACCGGTGAAAATTATCCATTCCTGTCACCTGGCGCAGTTCAGTGCCAGGCCCGAGAAGTCCGTTGCAGTCGCTCTCCTGGCTGGGTGACCAGATCGGGTATTTTGTACTGCTGGCTGTGTGACTGCAAAGAGTAAAAGTTTTACTAAAAGACTCTCCACCCATTTGCTCGGTCTTCAAATTCAGTAGAGTTGGTCAGACACAGACTAAAGCCTGTTGGCGATGAAGTGTCAAACTATCAATTCATTTCCTGTGAAGTTTATAAGGAAAAGAACACAACATTTCAACTGGCAAAAGCATCGTAGGTAATACTGGAAACCGTTTATTTGTACAAACATGAACACGTATATTATGGATTAGTCTCAGAAACCTTTTATTATAACTCTGTACAAAACAAATCTTAAAAGTAAGTCAGAGTTTCAAAAGATTTGTAACACAATGAAACAGGAAGAAAATCTACTCTCCAGACTATTGACCATGAAGGTCACTTCAGGCATCAACTACAGATTGCTTAAGCTTTTCCCTAGATGCATTACCTTAATTCATACGTGATAAAAAAAAACAACAACAAAAAAACAAAACAAAAAAAAAGATTGTCCAAACCGCCTATACGTACCGAATGAATTTAGAATCAGAGTCAGAAGAATTGCAATATATCCAGTGAAATTCTTTTAAAGTCTCCTTTGATGATTCTGAAGAAAACAACAAAACGACGCCTCTAGACATTAACTAACTGAAAGAGATTCAAATGAAAGAAGAGAGACTAATGGCAAACATTCTCTTCAATGAAAAATATTACACAATACGGACACATAAAATCTGTACAGAGATATCACAGATTATTTCAGTTATGATATTGGAACAATTGAACCACAGACCAGTAAAATAATCAAACAAATCTCGACATCACAAACCATAATACACGAGATAAACTGTTCTTCCATGAAGGGCAAAATAGTTCTAGGATCAGATAAACATTGCTTTCGACTTGTAAACATTTTAAAGAATGATCATACGTTTTTCACTTTTTGAACAAATTTTCCTTTATGGGCCTCTCCTTATGTTAGCAGTTTAAGAGACCACTTTTGTTTTTTGAAACTCCACCACTACGAGTAAAAGTATTCCCTTTTACATCTACATAGATTCAAGACATGGGGTTACGAGGTTAAAATCCAACCTTTTGATTTCTAAACAAATTCATTTTTGCTTCCATGTCTCTGCTGTGAATGTGCGAGCCTATATATCTTATGTTGTAAGAAACTTTCCGCCAAAAACTACTGTTCTTTCAAACCCCAAGCTCCGCTTCATCTACATCACCATATATGGCTGCAAAAAACTTCATTCAGTATGAGCAATAGCAGGTGTTCCAACCTGTATGATTTAAGGCACACACATTTATTTCTACACAGAAATTTGTGTAAGCTCCGCAGGCATAATCTCCGGCAGTCTCAAATTGGGCTTGCCACGAAGGTGAAGGTCATTGTTCGACTTGTTGGACGGCAGCAGGGTGGTGGACAGATGTTTCGGGGTGGCATATCTTGTGAAGCGCATCGAGTCCAGAGGCTGATCCTTGTAGGAGCCTGAGTAAGTGGACTCAAAGTCCGGGCGGTTCATCTCTTGCTGTCTGGCCAACTGCTGGGCTTCAACGTGTTCCTTCAGTCCAAAGTTGGTGGGGGGCCCTACAGACGGAAATAGAAACAACAGAAAGTCATTCAATGTAAAGGAATACGCGTTTATTACTTTCATCTGTGTGATAATCTGACAATGTTGAAAGGGGGGGCTTCCAAAATGCCAATATTGCAGTCAGTATCAAATGTCGGAAAAGTAAGGCTTGACTGATGATCAGGAGAAAATTTTGTCTTGTTCTGTGATGAGTTACGAAATCAAGAATACAGATCCAGTTGTAGTGGAAAAGGAACGTATTGCTCTGAAAGTAAAATCAATCCAGCATATATGATCAAAGCCACTGAATGAAACTAGGATGCAATCTCACTTGAGAATGTACAACTTACATAAATTACAAACACTGTTACGTAATTTTAAAACTAAATAGGTCTTGAGGAAAAAATCCTTTTAAAGTATGGCAGAGTGATCTTTCAATTTCAAATACAGTGACAAACTCAACCGTGAACTGACACATTTTTTTCTCACGAGGTCAAACTCAGTTCAACTAAACAGAGTTCCAACAGTTCTTAAAAAAACCTTGGTAGAATTAACACAATTACTATCTGAACAAAAAATCAGACGTATTTTTTAATGAACTGAGCATGAGCCTAGTTTATTTGACCACTATATTTCCTTCAAAACTATAAAATCTGTGCTATTTTTAATTTTACTCTCTTAGCTTGACAAAAAGTTTCCCTAGACCTTACAACTGTAAATGCTGAATTTCCATTGTTGGAATTTAAAAAAGCCATACATAAAGACTGGTTCAGCAGTTTTTGTTTGAAGGCTTTTTCTGAATATACCCAATTAAATGTATACGAAATATGAATGGAATCACTCTCAGCACTGAATGAGTTCAGGATTTACATCACCATAAAGCAGCATACCTCTGAGGGGATGATCAGTTCTTTCAGGGAGCCAGCCCAATTTTTGGCCATCCCAGGACCGCAGATGGGGCATGTCCCTCTCCTTCCATCTGCCGTTATAGTTTTCATCGTACAAAGTGATCATCATGTTGTCATAAGCACGGCCATGGTGGCGAAACAGCATGTCCGCGGGGATGCCCTCACTGCCGAGCTTTGCTTTGCGACGCAACAATACGTCTGGCTCAACCGAGCCATAGTTTTTGAAGTCGACTCGATTTGTAGAGTTATGCTGATATTTGCCTTTTGGAAACTGAAACAGAAAGAGAAATAGCTTGCTACAATGAAAGGCACACAACAAGCACGCAAGGCAAACAAGGTTTCTTATTACATTTTCAACAGCAACTTGATTCTGAAGTCCCTGTTATCTGTTTATCATTTTAGATGGAAGGTTTCCAAAGAGAGGATTGCAGGAGTTAAGATATGAAAGCATGAAAGATGAGATGAGATGAAATGCAGATACTCCGCATAAAAAGCAGGCGCTGTCTACGAGCCTATCTTTATTCTGAAAAATATTTTTTCTTAATTATTTTGCCCATCTAAGAACCTTTTCTAATAGTCGAACCTGATCTAACAGCCACCTGTCCAAGACAATCACCTGTACAAGCAGCCACTTCAAAGATATTCCACCTTGCGTTGACAATGGGTGGCCATATATGTCGACAAATCCGACTGTGGTATTAAGCCTAGAAATCTGTTTAAGAACAGGTTTAGCTATGGCTAATAAACTTTTCTAAGCTGCTTTATCATACTTAGTGTATGCTAAGAAGAGGTCCCCTTCAAGGTCCGATTTACACATGAACTTTTCTGTTACAAAGTTCAATGAAAGACACTTGGGGGTGTGAGGACGAGGAGGAAAGGAGAGGGCACCCTTTGCATCCTCCTTATATTTATTTAAAATAGCACCCCAGATTTTCTAGCACATCGGTTCCTCGATAGTTCATACAAGCAACCAAAACAGGCAAAGTAATGCTGTAACTGATAACGTGAGGCCATTTTTATCAGAAGGAGGGGTTGGGGTGAAGGGCGAGGGGAATGCGTAGACTAGCAGACGACAAAATGAAGTACACCACTATATGCACTTACACATACTTTTTGCTTAAGCATGTGAGCTCTGCCCAGTAGGTCAATTGCAAGATCGATGACATCCTATGTTGGTTCAATCAATTAATTCCTCTGAAGTATAGTCAAAGTGTCGGACAGTCTCACCCATTCAGTCATATTTTCCCCACTTACACATAATTGTGACCATCTGTTTCATATTTAGTTCCTTAATAAAAATTAATACTTTACTAAATCAGGGTGACAATAATTGGTCTCAAAATTCACTAAGAAGCTGAAGCCTGTTCTAGTTTTCAATTGCATTAAAAAAATTGCACATCCCTCAGACAGGCGTAACCTATATAAAGGCCTATTTGATATCATTTACTATTTTTAAACATCACCAACACTCTAGCTGTAATTAACCTCCCTCGTGAGTCAGTACATCATCAAAGAAACATTAAATTCTATCATAGAATGAACAAGGGAAACCAATAGATAAGAACTGAGTTGTGACTCTTGAAATCCACAGAAGAACCGTACGTCTTTCCAACGAGAATAAAAGCATTTTCATATATATATAATTATTATATGAGAAAACTAGGTGTAGATAATTATCTACTTGGACACCTCCAAAGTGAAAAGGAAAGAGTGAGGTGAAGGGGTACACTCCACTGATCATGACTGATGTCTTTTGTCATTAATTTAAGTCTTATTTAATATTCTCGTTATAAATAATAATTTTATCTCAATTTTTACACTAATCACACAACACATAACAGTGACATCCACATTTTTGGGAGTGACGGAGACGAAAGAATAGCCAAAATAGAATTGGGACTTGGTGGATGGCTAGAAGATACACAATTCAAAACGTAATTCATACATCAGGTCTGTAATATTATAATCTATGATCTAGAAATCTAGTATAGTATAGAGATAACTAGGCCTACTAAGATAACTAACCGCCAGTCGCTCCTCTGACCAGTTGCCAATCAAAACTCCAGGCGCATATCTCTGTTCTATCCTCCAGCTAGGAACTCCAAACTTAGAGAAATCCACCCTGTCTGTAATGTGCCTCTGCATTTTCAATCACGTTCCCTAAAAACTGGGTATCAAATACTCAAGAAATAAAATATATTGGTCCTGTTCCGCCGTGTTGAGATTTTCACGCACACCTTGTTTGTGTTCAGGTGGACGAATACAAAGTTGATAAAGATGTCGTTTGATAAGGAGCTGAACGTAGACAACAGTTTGTTTTTCCTTGACATGCAATCAAATTGCTGGTAATAAAAGTAGTATACTTTCGTGCTTCAGTTAATAAAATATATATCTTGAATTTTCTTGCGTCTGTTTACAAAGGATCTATATCCCTAACGCGTATGTGTTCGTCGGGTATGCGGTGGTTGCTATCAACGTTGCTGTGTGTACAGAGTAAAGGCCCCTGAGTTCTCATAGACGTAGAAGTTTTCTTTCGTTTAAATCAACAAAGGCGAAATGTTTATTGAATCTTAATAAACAAGATGGCAGCCTCCACAACCTTCAGATGTAGCTCTTTGAGCTCAGCATGTCGTTTGTTATTTCAAAAGCAAACAGCAGGTTATAGACAGCTTAGGTTTTTGTCCAGTTCCTCCCAAGGTGGGTATGAAACGTGATAGGCACTTTCTTGTTTTAATTAAGCCTAAGCTAGACAGATGAGAAAATCTTAAAGTAAAAATAAGGCAAGGCCAGTTGAGTAAGTAAGTAAGTAAGTGTGTAAGCTCAGGGCTCAGTCTTATATGTGTAAAATAGTGTTGGGCGGTACCGGCGAAACCCAGTGTCGACACTTTCTCGGTACTGGGTGCCGAGAACCGCCAGTACCGGCACCGGCACCAGTACAAGGAGTGACACCAGTAGGTGACGTCACAGACTTCGCGTCTTGCGTCTCACACCAAAAGATCAGCACCGCCCGCAAACCTCCCCACCCCCCTCTTTCCCGCACACGCACGTTAGAATTGGAGAGGCGAACTGTGACGCAAAATACCTTTGAAGTTTGCCGCCGTGCGGGATAAGACTCTGCATGCACAATTTTTAAAATTATTATTGTCGCTAAAAACTGATTTCATTTTCGGAATCAAGGTATCAATTTATACAAAGTGGCTCACGTGGATCCTGATTTGATGCAATGTTCAAATTCAAGCAAACTTCGTTTTTCATTGTCAATTTTGAATCTGAAGTCATGTATCAAGGTCACCAGCTGCGTTGTGTGCATCTGACGTCACAGCTGCTAGGCCAAGGCTTAGACTACACTGGAGATGCATACACACAGCACACTTCCCTTGGCTAGGTTAAAAAACCGTTGGTGTCGGCCTATACGTTCTTACTCTCTGAGCATCTAGGTGTCGGCTCCTTCCCAGAGCCCGTACTAACCGTTGGTGTCGGCTCCTTCCCAGAGCCGGTACTGGAGGCCTGGTGCCGGTACTTACACCTCCTTCGGTAGGACCGGGAGTTCTGGTACTGGGTACCGGTACCTGCCCATCCCTAGTGTAAAACGGATAAAAATGAACAAGTAAAGTATACAACACTTGAGTGTTAGACAGTAGATACAGTGAAAATAAAATAATACCAACTAATATAATTTTAATATTATTCACTTTTCAAGGGATTTTACTCTTTAATTTTAGTGATCAAAAGTCTCTACAATTTACAACTTAGATTGTTCATTGTACATTGTCATTGTGAGAATTTATGAGGAAAATGATAAAAAGCCCCATCCTTTTAATAAGAGGGGATTTTAGTCAAAATTTCAAATAGAGTAGCAGTAGACTACTGAGTGATTAGTTGATATCAGGGTCAGGTTTAAAGTGGAAGCCAGTGGCTAATGGCTCAATGATTATTTCACTTGCCCCTTCTCTCTTGTGTCCCCCTCCCCTCCTCCCCCCCATCTCTTTCTCTCTCTCTCTACAGTCAAATCTGCTTTATCGGACACCCATCTAAAACAGTCACCTGTACAAACAATCACTTCCCACTTATCCCCCTCTCTGTCTATCTCTGTCTGTCTGTCTGTCTGTTGGTGTCTCTCTCTGTATATCTCTATGTCTGTCTGTCTGTCTGTCTGTCTGTCTGTCTGTCTGTCTGTCTGTCTGTCTCTCTCTCTCTCTCTCTCTCTCTCTCTCTGTGTCTCTCCCTCTCTCTGTCTGTGTCTCTCTCTGTATATCTCTATTTGTCTATCTGTCTCTGTCTCTATCTTTATTGTAATGGACACTGTTGAAGACTTCCACCTGCCTAAGACAACCACTTTTCCCCTCGACAATGGCTGGCTGGCCGCCTCAGACAGTTTCCTCCAAATAAAATTTCTTCTCATGTTGAACACTTTTTCCTGTGTTGCTTTGAAACAGATAACAGCGCCAGCGATGCTGTGAGTGCTGCTCCTGAAAATGAAGAGAGGGACCCGTTTCCTGTGTTCGTCCAGCCGAGAGTGCAAGAACTACTGACCAGAATCACAGGCTTTGACCTCATGAAGGTCGCTGGGCCCCAGAAGAAACCGTTACAGCGACCGATATACAAATTGATGACTGATGAGCAACTCAATGCCGTAAGCCGCATCTTACTTTGGTGTATTTATTTATAAATTTATAAATGATAGTTTAAAAAAATGTTGTTTGATGTGCAGCTGGAGAATTATTCGCCCATCGAAAAGCAAAGAGAGACAAAGGGAATGAATGAGAAAATAATGATCTTTTTTTGATTCGTTTCGCATGTCATTTCCTTTCTTGTCTTGTGCAGAGTCAAATGTAACTATCATCATCATCATCCGGTGCCTTGCCGACTGGCGTGGGCGATCATGGACCTCCACTTCACTCTGTCTTACATTGCAGCAATGGTGTCTGTTGTTCTTGCTGCTCCTAGCCATGTTGTCATCTTGTCCAGTATCTTTTCCCTCTGTCTGCCTCTGCCTCTCTTTCCTTCAAACTTGCCTGTTGTTACAATATTCTCCAATTGTAACTATTTCATGTCTTATTTTGTCTTGTATGAAGTTCAACTTTCAAAATTATTCTTTATAATAGAGATTAAGCTGGGAGAATTTTGAGCCAGAAGATACGTAGGGTTTTCAATCAGTTCAGGAGAACGGCCTACAAGGATTTATCTTTCACTGTACACCCTGCTGTCTCTTCTACAATTGTTTCTGATTTAGTTATCATGAATTAAAGAATTTTGAAATTTTCATCTATGTTATGACGCGGTGGAATCAGGCACTCGTCAATTTTTGAGCATGTGGAATTATTGATATCATCTGAATACTTATTCATTTGCATTGCTTTCAATGAAAAAAATACCTATCTATCTCAAATAGAAGTCTCTATATTTGCGATTGAAGGGGGTGTGGTCACTAGGTTTCAGTGGTAAAATTACCGAGAAAATAGCCGCCAAAGTTTGGTAGCTTCATCAATAGCTTGAAAGTCCTTGAAAACTTGACAATTACATATCTTGTGCTTTTAATCAACGTTTTTCAGTAACATTCACATGGAAATGTGTTTTTCTATGAACATAAAAGGCGTTGAGCCAAAAAAAAAAATTCGATACAAATTGCTCAGCTGACTGAAAAATGCCTGTTTCTTCCGTTTCATTATTTTGATGAGCACCTGATTTCACCACATTGCCTCACATATCATGATATAAGGGGAGTACAGAGTTACAAAATTTGACTCTGCATAAGACAAAAGGGGAAATGACTTGAGAAAGGAATAAAACAAGATCATTGTCTTGTTCTTTTTGTCTCTTTGCTTTTTGGCTGGTGAAGAATATTCCCACTGTGCAATAATTGAAGAAGGACACATGACGTGTAATATATGTGTTAACATTTTGCTTTGGTTTACGTGTCGTGTAGTACCAGCACTTACTTTTCGAGCATTGCCTTGGCTGTTCAAGATGGAAAATAAATGTTGGGTGTAAAGAAACCCTTCAAAATTCCAACAAGCATAGCATTCTGAACTGTGGAATATGTGAATGATTCGAGGCCTCAGAGACCAGACTTTAAGGTTTGTTGTAGGCAAGGTTTTTACAACCATTTCCAGAATGGGGGTAAAAAGAGGATTATAATTTGTACCATTTTGTGGAAAAATAGACAAGTTAGATATTAGTTGATTTCACTGTACTTGTCTGCTCAAAGTTGACTGTCTCTCTCTCTTTCTCTCTTCCTGGTATCCAGGAACTTAGCTCAGCGAAAGAGAGGCTACAGCACAGATTACAGATGCCCCCGTACATGAAGCCACGTCGACCTCACTTGACCCCCCTGTCTGTTGATCCTGAGCTGGCTGGCTTTGACAAGAGCAATTATGTCTTTGTAGACATATCTTTTGGTGTCAAAGATAGGGTATGTTGATATCAGTATCAGTGATGAGAGTTTGTGATTGTGTCAAAATATCTGTTGTGCCTAATGTCTTCTAGTACATCTTCTTACTGAGGAGCACTGCATCAATGAGGATAAGACTGTTCATTCCCCCCCCCCCCCCCCCCCCCCAGCTGAAAAAGTTAATTTTGTTGTAGAATAAAGATTTTTTTAGCTTGTTTGCAAGATCTACTGATGAACACATAGCCTATTCATGGATGAAGGTTTAAACACAAGGCAGTTTACTTTATAACTACTAAACCTATTCGCTGCACTGGTGATATCGTCGCCTCAGAATTATTTTGTCCAAAGTGCACTCTGTAGCTAATTTTGTGGCGTCGGTAGTCTAGTAGTTAAGCTATCGGACTTGTAATTGTATTCGTGAGGTTGTGGGTTTGGGGGTTCGAGCTGCGGGCTCGACGTTGTGTCCTTGGAAAAGGCACTTTACTCGAATTTTCCCCACTTCACCCAGGTGAGAATGGGTACCCAGCTATAGACAGTGAAAGATCTTGTCAGTTTGTTAGTGTTTGAGCGCTTAACCAGCTGCTTGCACTGTATGCTTCCCGGGAAGCTGAGAATGTTTCTGAGTGTTCTATGGTCTGCTGGGGTAATATCGTGTAAAGCGCATAGAGCTTGCTTTCGAGTGGGGATATGCGCTATTCAAATGCTATTTATTTATTATTAGTAATTACACTTTTGACAATATAGTTCTGGGGTGACGATATATACATATGCTGTACATACTGTGAAGGTGCGCTCCGCGCTGTGTTGCGTTGCACGGGATGTATAATTTTAGTTATGAGAATATTTCAGGCTAATGAAAAGTTTTATGACTTTTGTGTATGAGTGACAACCTGAAAGAGTGACTATTTTCAAGTCACTTACAGTCAAATTTTATTATCTGACTTTCATGTTGATGTAGAGCAAAGTTTTAACAAGGGAGGCAAATAGAGGGGATGGGGGTGCATGTTCAGAGATTCAAGATGAGAATTTTAGTTTGTGTAACAATAATACCTTATCGTACATTTTTCACAAACTTCAGAAGCGATCAGTTGTGATACGAGAGGTGGACGGGACCTTGAGAGTGGCTCCCTGGGATGTGAAGGAGCGGATGAACCAGATATACAACCCTCGCGAAGGAAGGCACGTGGTGAAACCCAGCATGTTTGAAGAGGCAAACCTAGAGGTGAGCTTTAAAAATAGCTTCTCTTGTAAGTTTTCTGTAGCAGGTTCCTGTCGTTTAGAGAGTTTTATAGCACTTGAGACGACATACACTTTTATGAGCGTCTAGCTTTTTAGCGTTGATACTCATTTCACTTACAATGACTGCCTGAATAATACAGGCTATGGCTTCATGCTATCGTTTTCTTTTTAATTCCTGTTGATATGGTAAAAATAGACCTTTAGTATAATTCCATAAAAAGTTGTTTTTTCTTCTGAAAAGTGTATTGTTAGCCAGCTTTTAAATTGTAGTGAGCCCAAAATTTCGAAATTTAGGAAAATAAAATAAAATTGCGGTTTCTCAGTCTGTGATATCGGTTGCATGACCTCAAGAAATATTTGGTAGAAATTCATATTCTAAATGTTGAAAAAAAACAGATAAGAAAAAATATGTAATTTAGGTACTTTGGTTTAAAAAACGAAACAGTTTTTTCTCTTTAATGAAAATTTGTGCTAATTTTAGTTCAATGTGGTGAGAAAAATAAAGCTGACAATAATACAACATCATGTCACATTAGATGCATCTTTCAAATTACATGCAGGAATTATATCACAGATTTTTCCCAGAGAAGAGTACCATTTTGATGTGGTATGTCACATAAGATGCATCTCTCAAACCACATGCAGGAATAAATTATATCACAGATTTTACTGATGAAGTAGCATTTTGATGTGGTATGTGTTTGACTCTGTCTACAGCAAGCTCATAATAATACATGTCGCATTAGGTGCATCTCTCAAACCACATGCAGGAATAAATTATATCAGTGATTTTACTGATGAAGTAGCATTTTGATGTGGTATGTGTTTGACTCTGTCTACAGCAAGCTCATAATAATACATGTCGCATTAGGTGCATCTCTCAAACCACATGCAGGAATAAATTATATCAGTGATTTTACTGATGAAGTAGCATTTTGATGTGGTATGTGTTTGACTCTGTCTACAGCAAGCTCATAATAATACATGTCGCATTAGGTGCATCTTTCAAACCGCATGCAGGAAAAAATTATATCACAGATTTTACTGATGAAGTAGCATTTTGATGTGGTATGTGTTTGACTCTGTTTACAGCAAGCTCATAATAATACATGTCGCATTAGGTACATCTTTCAAACCACATGCAGGAATAAATTATATCACAGATTTTACTGATGAAGTAGCATTTTGATGTGGTATGTGTTTGACTCTGTCTACAGCAAGTTCATAATAATACATGTCACATCGGGTGCATCTCTCAAACCACATGCCAGGAATTGTATAACATGTTCTGATGAATTAGCATTTTGATGTGGAATGTGTTTGACTCTGTCTACAGCAAGCTCATAATAATATATGTCGCATTAGGTACATCTTTCAAACCACATGCAGGAATAAATTATATCACAGATTTTACTGATGAAGTAGCATTTTGATGTGGTGTGTCACATAAGATGCATCTCTTAAACCACATGCAGGAATTATATCACAGATGTTCTGATGACGTAGCATTTTGATGTGGTATGTGTTTGACTCTGTCTACAGCAAGCTCATAATAATACATGTCGCATTAGGTACATCTTTCAAACCACATGCAGGAATAAATTATATCACAGATTTTACTGATGAAGTAGCATTTTGATGTGGTATGTGTTTGACTCTGTCTACAGCAAGCTCATAATAATACATGTCACATCAGGTGCATCTTTCATACCACATGCTGGAATTATGTGACAAATGTTCTGATGAAGTAGCATTTTGATGTGGTGTGTCACATAAGATGCATCTCTTAAACCACATGCAGGAATTAATTATATCAGAGATGTTCTGATGATATAAACAATGTTCTGATGACATAAACAGATGTTTTGATGTGTGGTATGTGTTTGACTCTGTCTCCAGCGCATGATCTCGGAGAAGAGATACCAGTACGTCTTAGACAGAGCCTGTTGTCAGTTCGAGCCAGACGATCCAGACTTCATCAGGGTGAGTGAGGCGTTGTTTTGATCCAAAAAGTTTATGTGATGTGTGCTGACAACATGAGTTACTTCTTGCAATCCACAAACGGAGATATTGGCCAAAAATCGACACTGGGGTCAACTTTGTACATTTCCTATTGATGCCATATTCTTTAACTATAACATGCCTTTTATTATTTCATGCTTATAAATTTTAAAAACTTCACCTATAAGTGTATTGTATTTATTTCCATGAGGTTTTGAATCCGAGAAGTAACTCATTTTGTCTGCCTGTTTCACATATTATTATAAATGCTCTTTCGAGCCTCAGTGAAGGTAATCTGAAAAATGAGAGATTGCGTAGCTACCAACCAGTTTGTGAAAAACGTACTTAACTCATTTTTTAAGGTTCGAGTTGGAAGGTACGTTTTTGCGTCCGGGATTTACTTAGTCTCTGTTTTCTAGTATTGCTTCTCACGAACTTTCTGATGTTGAAGAAAAATTGTGAACCTTTCAAAGCAGGATTTGTGAATAATAATGAGAAGGAGGCCCGTAGGTCAATTTTAGAGACCTCTGCTAAACATTTCTGACGTTATTGTTGTCTAGACTTGTCTCTGTTATCATGATGCACGCTATCTAGGGTTGTTGCAAAAATTTCTCTCTGTCAAGTTGGCTGAAATGTCTGCGTGTTTTGACGATTGAAGTTGGGGTTTAGAGGGGAGGGACTGTGCGTTTGTACAAGGAAACTATTAAGCTAAAAGTCTGTTATATGAAGAAAGTGTGCATTTGAGAGGAGTGTGCCTGTGTATGGCGTGCATTGAGGAGGAGACTACAGCATTGTATAAGAAAAAATTCGGGACTTGAAAATTTGTTTGTTATGTTCGTGTTTGTAATGTACACGCTAGATATATATGTACAATGTAGTTTTTTTTTTTTTCAGACCACTCACCGTGTGTACAATGCTGTAGATCAGTGTGGAGACTACGAGCATTTGAGGTCGACGCGCCACTTTGGCCCGCTGGCCTTTTACCTGGCGTGGCACTCGTCGATTGACGGCCTGCTGGTGGACATGCTCGACAGAGACAAGTATGTGGCCAGGCGCTCCTAGGGTTTGAGTCAACCAACTAGTCATAGTAACTGAGAGGAAGATATTTTAATTATTTTATAATGAGCACAAAGAGATGGTCGTAATAAACAGAGGAATCTGAGTCAGAGTGATCAGATACTGTGGAACCAGAGATGCAGATTTTCCGGATAAGTAAAAAAAATTGCGAATTTTAGTAATTGTTCAGATAAAAGTAAAAATTTGATAACTAATATTCTTTTCCTGAAACTTCTGTGTTGTTGAAGGATTTTCCTCTTTTTTGCCCACATGGGTATTGTCTGTTCTGCAGGGCTGCCCACCATTATGAATTTGGCAGAATTGTTACGATTTTTATTAAATTTTACAAAAATGCGATCGTAATACACCTGATTCCAATATTTTTAAAAATCCACTGCCATCCGTCTTTGTGTAAACCTATACCATTTCACCATTTTACTGACACTAGTGACAACTGTTTCGTTTAATATAGTGATAGTTTCTTCTTGTTTTTCGGAACTATTCCCGATCCAAGTATTAAAGTAATGACTAAGCCTTTGTTTCTGCAATTTAGAAGTTGGAGGCAAGCTTTTGGGATTATATATAATGAGACATAGTGCATCAGGTTTAGGTGACTGTAGAAAAAACTCAGGGAAATGGTGGAAAAAACTCAGGGTTTAAAGAGTTAAGAATTTTAAAGTCAGATTACTAGGTTTTTAATTTGTTGATCACTAAAACATACGCTGGTAGGTCGGCAGTCCTGGGTCTGTGGCCTGTGATGGAGTCGTGAAGACTGTACCACTCGCTCTGTTGTGTGTGTGTGAAGAAGCTATGATGAACAGTTGCTGAGAAAGAGGAATACAACATACCAGCAGAAAGACAGACACTTGATAACAATCCCCCCCCACGTGCCTAACAAAGATTAAGAAGAGCCTAACCGTTGGGAACGACTCTGGTGGAGTCTGCATGAACTGAACACAGTTAACAGGGGGGTCCTCATTATGACGGCGCACTCTTTTAGTATGATGAATTTAGAAATGAAATATATGCGTCACTGAATTGATCATTAAATCAGCAATTGCCGAAACAGGTCTCTTTTATCGAGAGTTCTTTAATAAGATGAAGAACTGTTAAAATGGGTTCATTTGTTTTTATTTAATTAATATAGCTCGCAAAGCACATAGAGAGCCTTCTGTTGAGTGGGAATTTGTGCTCTATATGCAAATGTTATCTCCGTTATTATCTGTTGTTATAACTGTTTAATTTATTGCCCACCTCTCAGAGCGCAGGATGCCAGAGACTTGGTGGTCCTGTTTGCAGACGTGCACCCAGACAGCTCATGCGCAGCTGCCATCTCGGAACTACCTCAGCAAGACGATGATGTTGCAGTGATAAAGGTGAGTTGTTTGACCTCTGGTAGTGCTCACAGATTAGTACAGTAACTCAACTCTTTCATCTGATCATTGCTGGAATTCTAGGAAATTAAACAGCTGTTCCTGGCTAAACACAGGGATGCCGTTTCTCCTTTATTTTAGGTTTTTCCCCCTTTTTTTTTTGGGGGGGGGGGTTTGGGCATCGTCCGTTTGAAACTTTGTTTTATTGTTGAACTTTTCTGTCACACATCTGTTGTTCTTATCTCTCCTCCTTTTCATTGTATGTTACTCTCTTTCTTTTATCTTTTATTGCAAGGATTTGTCTTTTCTTGATCTGTGGATTGTTGGTGGGTGTGCTCTGGTGTGGTTTGCTCCTTCTTTCCTATAAAAAAATCTATCGTCTCTATCTCCCTTCGTTCTTTTTTGTGTTTGTTACTCTCTTGTAATGCCTCTAGTCTTCGGCACTTGTATGACCTTATTGTGTTGCAAGTGCCGTAAAACTCTTACTAAAACAATAACTAGATCTAACACTTAAACTTTTATTCTCTGCCTTTGGCATTTTTTCCTTTGACTCACTTCACAAAAAGTTTTCTTTTTTTTTACCGTTTGTACTACTACTTTCCGTCTGATCCTCTTTCTTTGATCTTTTATCGCAAGGATATGTCTTTTCTTGATCTACTCACACTTTCTTTCCATCCCCAGACATATTTGGCTACTGACTGCAAGAACAAGGACAAAGTGGAACTCTCGCTACGGGCCATGGTCGACTCACAGAGGTCAAAGGGGAAGACACAGAACTCTTCCCTGTGATGAATGAATGAATGGATGGATGAGGATGATGATGTGTTGGATACGAATGGTGTGATTTATGGAGAGGATAACATGCAAAGGAATTTGAAAT